TCATTTTGCTTGGCTAGATCTTCTTAAGCACAATTGCCTTTTCTGATTTCACCTCAAACAGCAGTTCCTCAGATCCAGGTCCCAGGGCCCTACAAATTATTGTCTAATCCTAAATCTGCATATTAGCCTTCATATCTGCCTCACAGATGCGGAAATGGAAGCTTCTAGTAACAAAAGGTATATAACGACCTCTATACTTTTGGAGAAGGATAGCATGTTTGGTAAGGTGGAGGATCAGAGGAAAAGAGGAAGACTTTTAGCGAGATGGACTGCAAAATGGCAGCATCAGTGGGCTCAAGCGTGATAACAACTGTGAGGTTGGCCCAGGACCTGGCAGTGTTTCGTTCTGTTGTGCATAGGGTCACTATGAGTTGGTACCAACTCGATGGCTCCTAACAACAACAACAGCAACATACTTTTGCCGAGTGCTTGCTATGCCCAAGGCAATAGGGCTTTATGCACCTTTCTTAACTTATTACTCATAAAAAGCCTCGGTAGAGATTGTAATGGCATTCCCACTTGATATATATAGACACAGAAAGACAATCTCTTCTGCCAAATCACATGGATAGTAAATGGTAGAGCTGGGACTTGAACTCACATGAAATCCAAACCTACCTAACATAAAGTAAGGAAATAATTCATTGAAATTTTTAACGTTTTGGGAGAAAGTCTACACATACAGAGTCAAACTGCCAGGTAATTTCTCTCTCTCGTTGGAAAATCCCTAGTGAAGAGAAAGTGAATACTTTCATAGCCATTGTTTTCAAATAGCAGCTCCAGATATTAAACAACAACAAAAACATTATTTCAAATAACTGATTCTAGCTTATTAATAGTTTGCACACAAGTGTATTGGCCCATAAAATTGTTTCATGCTTTTCAGTCACAAAAGTAGTATAAAAGAAATAATGAGTCCTCGTTACTGCCATTCTTGACTCTAGCTGAATTTATTGGATGAGAATCTAAAGGAAAAGGTGTGTGGTTAATGAATTGTCATAAGAACAAGGCTGAACAGAAAAATAACAAGTTTAGTGTCATCTAGTTATTGGTAACTGTACAAATCTTGGCCCTCAGTCCCTAATCAGATCTCCCCTTACTCTTTACCCATCTGAGCTGATAAGCAGCCTTATTTGTAAAGAAGAACTTGACCTTGATTTTTTAACACATCAAAAAGAATTATTTAGATGATAAATTAAATGCAGTTCCAGTTCTTGTACTTAGAAACCAGGGTTCGCAAACCATTTTAAATAGTGGTTGAATTTTCTGCCTATCTTTTGAGAATAAAGAAGATAATGTTGTGAAGGGTTACTAGGTGCAAACAATTTAACATTGGCCCTGTGGTGAAAGACAAAAAGATTCAAATCAGTATTGTTCAATGGACCTTTCTGCAGTGAAGGAAAATTCTACACACTGTAGCCACATGGGGCTATTTAGTACTTAAATTGTGAACGGTGACAAAAGAACTAAATGTCTTCTTTTGTTTACCTTTAATTGGTGTTGTTTTCTTGTTTTACCATCGACTTGATTCCAACCCATAGCTACCCTTGCGGGTTTCCGAGAAAACCCTATATGGGTCGGAACCAACTTGACAGCACTTTAGAACAACAAAAACATAAGGTTTCTGAGGAGCAGTTGGTGAGCTTGAACTGCCAACCTTGTGGTTCAAAGTGACGGTTCAAGGTCACCAGCCGCTCCTGTGAAATCCTATACAGGGTCATTATGGGTCAGAACCAACAAACAGCACTTAACAACACGAACATATGCCTAATAAAGGTCCCGGGTGGTACAAATGGGGTGTCCTCATCTATCAACCAAAAGGTTAAACCAACTCATTATCAGCAACTCAGAAGAACCACCCAGCAATTTGCTTCCCTTAAGTTTACTTTCTGGTAGTGTAGTGGGTTATGAGTTGGGCTGCTGCAAACCATAAGGTTAGCAGTTCAAATCAACCATCTACCCATGAGAGAGATGAGGCTTTCTGCTCCTGTAAAGAGTTATTGTTGTTGTTAAGTACCATCGAGTCGGTTCCAAACCATAGCAACCCTTATAGGGTTTCCAACAAGCAGCTGATGAGCTTGAACCACTGACCAGTGGTTCAAATGACGTATTATTAGGACTCTGTAAAGAATTACAGCCTTAGAAACCCCATACAGGGTTGCTATGAGTCAGAACTGACTCCACAGTGCATAACCATCATTTTTTAAGACTACTGCCAAAAAATCCCTAAGGGGCAGTTCTAGCCTGTACACAAGGGGTCACCATGAACTGAATCAACAATAGAACAACGAGGTTGGGTTTTGTTTATGTGCCTAGTGGCTGCTGTGCTGGACAGCACAGGTTTAGATCATACTAGATTTGTGTAGTCCTACAAAATATCTAAAGTTCTGTGTTCATTTAATTACTACCCTACTCAGCTCCCTTAGACGTCTTTCACAACTGCATCCATGGAACCACTGCTAATGGTTCAATTATCACATACAGCTGGAGCCCTTTGAGATGATGGATTTGAAATTTAGAGCACTAACTAAGTGACTAAGCCTCTCTTTCAGCCTTCTCTGTGTCTCCAATGCTATTAAAACTAATAAGCAAGCATATGGAAAAACAAGACGTCTTTAAAGACTTTACAAGTTATCCTGAAGCCTACTAATCCAAATGTATGGAGCTTGTTTACTATTTTCAAATTTGGATGAAGGTCTATTTTGTATATAACATCTTTTTTCAAAGAGACATTGAAAAATACGTGTGTTTCATATTGTTTTCCAGTTTCTGACACTCTTTTGAGTCTTTGATATTCTTCTCATCTCATTTATCGAAGCATTTTATATACTATTTTACTCTCCCAATTGGCCAAAAGACTTTATTCGTATTCCAGTCTTACTTTTTTGAGTCTCTATCATACATCTAGTTCTGAGTTCAAAAAGATTACTGAAAATGTGTGACTTCTCCCACTTTCTCGAAGAGTGTTGTTTGTGACTTAGTATGAAGTATAAACTTCTGGTAGGAATCATGCACTCTCACAGTGTCTTAGTTCTTTGGAGGCCTCATTCTAATTTCATTTCTATATCCATATCTATATCTACTTGGAAGATATTTATCTATATTATTTCTTCTATGGCATTTCTCATATTATTTCTTGCTGTCCTTATGGACATGACTAAAAGTACACACTTGGAATCTCCTCCCCAAAAGTCTTATGTGTATTTTCTTCACATAAGTATTATTGTAACGTAACTCATATAACTATGTCTGTGACGGAGCTCTTATAAGTATTACTGTAATGCAGCTCATAAGGATTATTGTAACGTAACTCAAAAGAAATTGCTTTTAGTGGAAGTTCTCCTGAAAGTCTGTTATTCCTTACAGAGACTCATCAAAAACAGTTTGGACAATAATTTTTAATAAGATTCTTGTTGAGCTGCTTCTGGCTCATGGTACCCCATGTGTGTCTGAGTACAGCTGCGGCTCATAGAGTTTTCAATGGTTGATTGTTTGGAAGCAACCACCAGGATTTTCTTCTGAAATGACTCTGTATGGACTGAAGTCTACCATCTAGAATATACTTAATCTCTAGTCTTCTGTTTCTGGGGATTGTTCTGTGTCAGTCATCTTTCCTATGAAAGATTTTGATTGTTTTGCTTCCTACTGTCTGTTGCGGGAGAACAGTGGCTCTGTAGAATAAGCACTGGGCTGCAAACCACAAGATCAGTGGTGTGAGCCCACCAAGTGTTCCATGGAAGAAAGATGAGGCTTTCAGCTCCTGCAAAGATTCACAGCCTCAGTCTCCAAGGAGCTGCTGCTGGGTGTGAACTGCAGACCTTGTAGGTAGCAGTCCAGTGCTTATCCTACAGCTCTATACCAGTACTCCTACTCTATACTACCGTCTTTTATCTTACTTAATTTCTCTGTGCACTATCTTTATTAAAAATATTACCTTTAGTTACTTGTTTATTATGCTATAATCTATCTGCCCCCACCGGAATGGAATAAACTCCATGAGCCTAGAATATTTTAATGTTCACTCTTTATCCCCTGGCCCTCGAATACAGTCTAGTATTGTTGCTGTTGTTAAGTGCTGTTGTGTCGGTTCCAATGCACAGGGATCCTGTATAGGGTTTCTAAGGAGCAGCTGGTGGGTTTGAACTGCCAACTTTGTGGTTTGCAGGCCAGTGCTTATGGTACAGCTCTGCACCAGGACTCTAGTAAAGTCTACCATGTTGTTGTTAGGTGCTGTTGAGTCAGCTCCGATGCATAGCGACTCTGTATAGGGTTTCTGAGAGCAGCTGGTGGGTTTGAACCACTAACTTTGTGTTTAGCAGTCCAAGGCTTATCCTAAAGCACCACACCAGGACTCCTGGTCTAAAATAGTAGGTCGATTAATAAATCTGTTGAATGAGTGATTACATTTATATTCCACCAAGAAGTGCTCCTTCTATTATTCATTAAATAACTAATCAATAATTGTTACATGTACTAATTTATGAAAGATTTTTATTGAGAAGAATATTGTATTTTCCCTTGAAAAATGAGTATCTCTAGACTACAAATGCAGAATTTTGGTATATTGTCCCCAATACATAACTGAATTTTGCTGCACAACAATTCTTCTCTTCCCATATGACAAAGTGGGTTTAATTTTTGATTAGATTATGGTAACAGGAAAGCCTGATGCATTTTTTATGTTTTAATTAGTGAAATTTTACATGTAATAGTGACAAAGTTTTTTGAATGGCTCTGGTTTGCGGCTGCTCATTCAATACTGAGGTGGTGATGGGAGCTAAGGAAATGATATATAAGCAGCTTTTTCCTAAGAGGCTTAGATATTTGAATAAATGTTATTTATATTTAATGATTAAAGAGCCGCCAGCAAGCCAACAATTGGATTTATTTCTATTAAAAATATATTAGAGTAACAATACTGCTTTGGGGCACTTAAGGACCGGAAGTCAGAGCAGCAGTAAACCCCAGCAAAGTTATTTTCTCAATCCCTTTTAGCTAACCTTCATTAGCTGCTTCTTTAGTGGCTGCTGACAAGCAGGCACTCACGGCCTCATAAGAGGCACTCAGCCTGGTGCTGGGGTCCCTCTTTGGCTTGGGTGGTGGCTGTTTCCGTGGTGATGGCAGGCCAGCGTTGTCATCCATGCTGAACACGGAGTAGAGGGAAGGCGACCTAATAGACGATCCAGCCAGACACAGGACCAGGCTGTCCATTGCTATCGGAACTGGGATGGAGCTGGAATGGAAATGCCTGGGTCCACCCTTGTCCTCAGCTCTTAAAAGGAAACAACACAAAACCAGCACCACAGAAGAGATGCCCAGATACATTATTCACATGATAACAAGGAACCTGTTCAAGCAAACATAATAACAGCTTTTTGGTAAACAGTCGATCTATACCCCTGCTGTGGCTTCAGGATGTGTGGGCAGTTCTCTGGTGAACAAGTCCAGAGAAAAGTGCCCTTTTCTCCTGGGCCCTGCTTTGAGATAAATGAGAACACTAGACATTCATTATTATTAGTCTTTAAGATGCTCACACAAACACTTCTTCAGGATTTTCGCATTTTTTATCAGGCATTCACTAGATGAAATTTTCACACTAGAATTATTAAGCAAGTTCAAAAAGCAGAATTTCAATCTGAATGATAATTTCTGGGAAATCCATCTTCATAGAGAGTTACTGGTGCATCAAATGCAAGAGTTCATGACCATTTCTTCTTGCAAAGGATGCATGGACTCTTCTTAAAACTACCATGGATAGTTTACATGTGGACTTTCTCTTCCCTGTCTCTTTTTTGCCCTGACATTTCAATTTTGTCAGCAGTTATTTAATTATACACAGAATTATCACTATTGTTTGCCTATCACACTATATGATTACCCAATGCCAAGTGCACTGCTGGTGTTCAATAGATAAGTAGACTAATCAGTCTTCACTTAATTTTACATCAGGCCAATAAATACATAATCAAATTGAGAAACTGGGGTGCTTGTCTAGTTCCAGCAGAGAAAATAATAAATATTATTCTGGAAGTTGTATCCAATTAATAGTTATCTGGTTTAAAAATTCCTTCTGGCTTTACATGTCAATCTACTTATGTTTTAACTAGATGCCACTGCATTTGTTTTACATGGGGTTTCCAGAGCATTTGTTTTTATAATTATATATTTGTGTGGCAGAACACCAATAGGGCTGGAATCTACCACAAGACAGAGCCAGATGCCCATGAAGTAAATGAAATCGCTGAAGATGAAAGCATGGCACTCGGTGGGTCGTTTGTTTTCCCTGTAATGTTTAATTACAGTTTTCTGTATAAAGGGGATTTTTATTCCCCCAGTATTTAATCACTAAGATATTTGTAGCTAATTAACCAGAGACACATTGCCATTTTCACTTTAATAATAATAATAATAAAAATCAATTGGCATGAGCCTTGAAGGCAAAAGGGGAGTTATTTTCAGTGAGAAACAACTAGACACTATCAAGTTCCTATGGAAAAATAAGCATCCCCTTGACCAATGGACGTAAAAGAGGAACAGGTTGTTGCCATCCCTGGGAGGGTCTTCCTATGAGCAGGTGTCCTCATCATTCACCGAGAGGGAAGGAGGCATGGTCATATGGAGAAAAAACCAGTTTGACTTCACATTTTATTTCAGTCTCAACATTCAATGTGTTATTTTAAAATAAAAAGCATTTTCTAAAGTTTTCCTAACTGGCAAAGAAACTGCGACAGTATAGGAAGGGGACTATAATAGATATAAACAATTTTTTTGGCATGTAACAACAACATGATTTTAGAGTGGCTTCTCAATTTTGTGGTCAGTTTTCTAAAACTTTCTAGAAATCAGCCTTAAGTACATCATACGTATACAGAAGTGCCAAAAGCCAGCTACATGTACTTGCTGAAATTATTAGATGCTTAAAAAAAAAACAAAAAACAAATACACCATCTATTTCATTTAACAAAAGCACAGGAAAAACATATTTTTAGATAATGACAAGGTTTCAAATAACTATGCACGAATGCCTGTTCCCGTAACTACTGTCATATTTGATTGAATTTTGCATTAAGAGCTATCGGAATTCTCATGAATGCATTGGATCAATTACAAAGGTAATTAAAGTTGCATATTATCTATCATTACCTTTTGGTTCCTTCCTCTTGTTTGTTCCTGGCCTCTAACTTTTCTCTATGGGGAGTGGCACTCATTTCATTCCGGAGCCGGTCATTTTCCCGAGCAATGTCTGAAGCATTCTGAATGACCAGCGCATCATAGGTTTTCAATCCCATGTCCTCTGTGTTTTGTAGAAAGCTGTTGATGGAAGTGACCTCTTGCTGTTTGATGCTCATTTTCTGAAGCAAGTGCTGGCGTGCTAGAAATCCTCTTATAACTTTCATAAAAGAACACAATCAGGAGCCAGTGAGAGAGGCAAAGGTGAATCAAAGACACACACAAACAAAAATCACAATGCATTAGCTCTCTGCGCATTGATCACACGCGATAAGTTCAACTCAGCACAAGAATTCACTAAATCATTCTGTCCTCGTATTAAAAAGGATATCTACATTCCATAAGGCCAACCTGAAAGGCAACAGACCTGGATGGGAATGAGGTCCTGCAGGCAATACTTGTAATAACGTTTCCACACTTCCTTTAACAATACAAATTTTGAAAGTGATGAACTGGGTTAAAAATCAGTGAGGAAGAGCTAGGTCCCAAACCCCAGACACCCTTGGGGTGTGACTCCAACTGCATCATTTGGGGATAAACCTATCTTCCATGAGATCAGATCATAACAGAAATGGCTGAAAGCATGGATGTAGTGTTTCTAAGATGACTTAATTTCTAGAAAAACTAGCACTTCCTTTAAGACTTTGGGAATATTGTATGTAGAAATGTAGGGGTTCCTTCCTGTTCCCAGAAGCAGCAGAAATAGAAAATGTGTGACAAGTAAGGGACATGATAGGAAACAAATATCAGGTCAGTAATACAGGTAAGACCATAAAATAAATATAGTTAGGTGCCAACAAGTCTGTTTTCACTTATAGCTACTTTATTTAGGGGTTCAGAGGAGCAGCTGGTGGGTCTGAAGTGCCAGCCTTGTGCTATGCAGTCCTGTGCTAATCTTACTGCACCAAATCACCATTTAAGGGCATTTTATGTGTCAGATTCTGACACTCTGTTATATAATTTAAATAAGATATATTCAGTGATCTCATGTCATTTAAAATTACTTAATATTATACAATAGTGGTATAAAACAATAATCACCCTCTTATCTGCAGGGCGTATGTTCTAAGACTCCCCTCACTCCATGCCTGAAACTATAGATTTGAGGCTGTCTGATACCACAAAGAAATACCGTCTCAAAACCCCTAAGATCTATTCTGTCCTAAAAGGTTGTATGAGATGGAATTGACTCGGTGGCAATACGCTGTGAGACTCGATCCTATTGTCTCCATTTTTAGGCAAAGTCAGAAAAGCTTAGCAAGGCTACCGAGTTCTTTGAGGTAGATTCATCCTTTAAGAGATAGAGTCAGGCTTCAAACCTCTCTGCTCAGAATGCCAAACTTTTGTCCCTGAAGACGTGGTCTGTAGGTCTCCAGAGAGTACTGTGACCATGAGAGGATGTAATAGGGATGTATATTTGTGATCAATATGCGGAAGAATGTTCTAACAATTATTACAGGTTGTCTTCTGAGAAAGGGTGTTCTCTCCCAGCCCCTATGGTTGGTCTCCTGTCATCGGTGCTGTTGGATTCCAATTTGGACTTTTTCACTTTCATGATGTAGTCCCTTGCAATTTCCCATTACAAATGATAAGAAGGTATATAATTTCAAGGGAAATCAATATGTGTAGCAGCATTTTATTCTTGTCTTATATAAACATTCAGGGCTTTAAAATATTCCATGGTTGTAGAAGAACAATTGTGTAGACTCTCTACGATGCCCATTTGAATGTGGACTTGATTATAAGGTGGAAAGCTGAACACAACTTTCTACAATTATGGCTTCATAGAAAAATAATATGCAGACATCTGAAACGCTTAAGGCACTGTTTTTCAGATGGCAATACCAAGTGTTTACTTACATTGGAATGCAAAGTTGTATGAAGTTAACTGCAGAACAGTCATGCTAAACTAATCTGATGGAGGAAACAAGGTAAAAGGTACAATCAGACTCTCAGGAATATAGAGTAAGGAATAAAATACAGAGGTGCCGACTATGTGAGGGGCATAATGAGAGAGAAGCAACAGACCTTAAATTGGCCGACTCACACTCACATTCTTGTTACATTAAAATGAAAAAGAAAGAGAGAGAGACACTGACTTTTGGAAGGGTGAAGGTAAGGATATATTCAAGATGTTTAATCTTTTGGAATAAAGGGAAGATTAATGTGGGTATTCCAGACTTCTACTGACCCCTATTATAGCAAAGCTATTCATTGACTTCAAATTCACCCAGGGACATCCATTGTCCAAAATCCAAAGAATTCCATTTTCTCACACTTTATACTACTAGCTTTTAAATACTTTATATTTTTATACCACTGGCTAAAAACTGACATTATTAAAACACATGTGCCATAGGCAGATGTTGATATATATTTTCTCTATGACCACTTCAATGATACTATGAATTCTTCAGTGTTCAAGACTTAATTTGCAAATGTAAAGGTAGACATTTTGTAACAAAAGGAGGGGAGTGGTTGATCTTGCAGTCCAGGAGTGGAGGACCCTGGGACCATCAAGGGAGAAGAGCTGAGTGCAGGACTCTATCCAGAGAAGCAGGGACACCAGAGATGGAGGCAGAGATGATGACCTGGTGAGATGGAATGGCTGGGGATGCTGGACTCAGGGAGAGACAGGGTCTGTGTTGTGACTGCCAGGGGGCAGCCTTGTGGGGTGTACCCTTTGCTTGTTTAAATGGTTGTATATTCCTGAGTACATTAGTGTACACCCAAAACCAAACCAAAACAAATCAAAACATAGGGAATGGAAGCAAATGCTGTTGAATGATGATGCATGGAGGGGATTGTAATCATTGTGGTGAAACAAAATACGGCAGGATTAATGTAAAGCTGATGTTCTCCCATGTAAACTATCATGCAATTCACGATAAAAACTTAAAAAAAAGAAGCCTTAATTTACTCAGTTTTGCATCTAGGGTAAAATGAACATACATAGAGAAATACTTCTGGTAGACATAATTTGAATGTGTACTATAAGTTTCAACTTTTTGTCTTTGTTACCCAAACCTTAACAAAGAAAATTAAACAAATAGAACCCGTTAAAGTCTGAAAGTGACTCCAGAGATATAAATTTTGAGTAAATTTAATATTAGAAAAAAGCATCAAAGGAAGTGTTCCAAGAGATGTGAGAACAGAAATCAATAATGAACGTTTTGCCTTTTGTAGCCTGTAACTTAAAATATGCTTATAAATCCACCATTTCATTTATGCAACACAAAATTACGGTTTTATGCTCAATGCCATTTTTAAAAAAAACTAGTCTCAGTTTTTATCTGGAGAGGTGAATTGAAAATTAGAGTCTTGTTCATTTCTTCTGTACCAAATCAGTACAGAAAGACAACATAGTATTTGTAACTAAATAGAACAACTTTCTCTAGAAACCATCCTTGATGGATGATGGGTTATAAATTCCTTAAAGTATATTTAAGAAAAGTGTCTATGAGAATTTGTGTGGCCCTGTTCTCTTATCCACAATTGCTGTCACATTCCAACTCACAGTGAGTGACCCTATGTAGTGTTTCGGAGGCTGTAAATCTTTTTTGGGAACAGAAAGCCTCATCTTCCTCTCACGGAGTGGTTGGTGGGCTTAAACCACTGTCTTCGTGGTTCCAAGTGTGGTTTTGATCCTACATAGCCACTGCATTCCCCTTATTCACAATGCTGCTGCTGCTGCTGCTGTATTTACTATGACTGTTATTAGGTGCCATTGAGTGGGTACCCACTCACAGCACTCCTACGCCCAACAGAATGAAACACTGCCCAAATCTGGGCCGATCTCACTATTGTTGCCACGCTTGAGCCTGTTGATGCTGCCACTTTGCCAATTCATCTCACTGTTGTTAAGTGTCATCAAATCAGTTACAACTCATACAGACCTTGCATAGGGTTCCTAACGAGCGGCTGGAACTATTGACTTTGTGGTTAGCAGTCCAATGCTTGGCCTACAGTGCCACACCAAGACTCCATAGCTTTATATTAAATGGGACTTTGTTTCAGTTTCAGCTGAGGCTGCTACCACAGACCTTGACTCATGAGATCTGGAGCGAGGCCTCCGAGTGTGCTCCCAGATGTGCTCTCAGTAGCTCCCAGATGATGCTCATGCTACTACTGGTTCTTGGAACACACACTGGTGAGTGTGGTGCTAACAGGAATTGCAAAGGAGGTGGTCCAAAACAGACCTGTGGTCCAAGCCTACCATTGATACTGAGGATGTAGCAGGATGAAAGTCAGTGAGAGAGAGGTATTCTTTACCAAGAGTTGGTGGTGGGCCCCCTCTCCTTGCCCAAAGCTCCTTCCCTCTCTGCTTCCCCAGTTCCCCTGGTGAAAAGGTTTCAAAATTCCAACTGAAGAGATCCCTGTGGAGTTTGGTGGAAACAGTGAACTGTGAGCCCACAAAGATACAACTTAGCTGCTGGTGGCTCCCGCCAGGCTGATGAGTGGAGCTTATGCTCTGCTGGGAAGAAGTTGCATTAAGAAGCGTCCTTATGGAGGAAGGTAGAATCTCCACGGAGTAGTGTCCAATCTGTCTGGGTGGGGCTGATGAAAGGATATGGGGATAGCACTCATGTGGCATAATGTGAATAACTGCTACTAGGACTGACTGTGAGGGTTGGAAATGTTAAAGGTAGATGTTTTGTACCAAAAGGCGGGGAGTGATTGACTTTGCAGCCCAGGAGCGAAGGACCCTGGAACCATCAAGGGAGAAGAGTGGAGTGGAAGACCCTACACAGAAAAACAGTGACGCCAGAGATGGAGGCAGAGACAATGACACGGAGAGATGAAGTGGCTGGGGACTCTAGACCCAGAGAGGTAGAGGGGCTGTGTGCTGATGACTGAGGGACAGACTTGCTGGGTGTACCCTTTGGGTGGTTGATGATGCATGGAGGGGACTGTATCCATGGTAATGTAATGATATACTATAGGATGAATGTAAAGCTAATGTTCTCCCATGTAAACTATCCCATAATTCACAATCAAACATTAAAAATGAAGAGTCCGTATGACTATTTCTTGGGAATCAGTCATGGTTTGTCAATAAAGAGATGCCTTCTGGGAGTCCTTAAAAAGAGATCTCCTGAGACTCCTAATAGAGAGTGTCTGTAGGGGGTGCATAAGCTGGTGCCCAGAAAGAGGGGATTATAAGTGACTAGACAAAAGAAATGTCTTGCCAGTTCTTAGTTAGATCAGAAAATCCCTGAAATGCTCCTAAATATGAAAAGAATCATTTATAATCTATGTGAGCTAGAGGAAACCTAAGCCAAATTAGACAGGGCCATTCAGGACAAGCCCCCTTTGCCCCTCACTTCTTCCTCTACTTCCTTGTCTCTAGACAGTCCAGAGGCCCCAAATCAGTAGGGGAGGAGGGGCAAATGAAAGACTACTATTCCCCCTCTGGTAGCATAGTGGTTACGAATCAGGCTGTGAACCGCAAGGTCAGCAAGGTCATCAGTTCGAAACTACCAGCGGTTCCACGGGAGAAAGATGAGGCTTTCTGCTCCCGTAAAGATTTACAGCCTCGGAAACCCTGTACAGGGTTGCTATGAGTCGGAACCGGCTTCACGGCCCTTAATAACAACAACATCCCCCCTCCCCAGGTAATATTGCAGCTTGAAGTGGCCTGAATCTAGGCCATAGGGAATTTTGAATTGGGAATGAGAGTCTAAATTTTGATCCTGGCTTGAAATGGAGAGTGTGCTTTCTAAACCGGCACAGTTAAAGAGAGGAGATTGTAGTAGGGCATTTTATTATTAGGAAATGATTGGAAATATCATGGAACCCACAGGAGATTTCATCCAGGAGTCGGCCACAGAGGTTCAGGTGGGCAGAGGCATAAACAGAATAAAATGTATGCCTGTGTCCTATGAAGTTTGTTTTTTATATTACCAGGTACAGATGTATCCGAGTGAAATTCCTTACAATAGTCTCACTGAAAACTAACTTACGGATGAATTCCTTCCTCTATTATTTTTCTTTAATGATCATATATATATAATACAAATTTGTTGTTGTTGTTGTTGTGTGCCGTGGCGTCGGTTCTGACTCATAGCGACCCTGTACGGGGTTTCCGAGGCTGTAAATCTTTACAGAAGCAGAAAGCCTCATCTTTCTCCCACGGAACAGCTGGTAGTTTCAAACTGCCAACCTTGAGGTTTGCAGCCCGATTCATAACCACTATGCTAATAAACAGTATAATTAAATTAGTAAAACCTATTCAGTTTGTAAGTTTTATCTGAGGCATGTTACCTGAAAACAAATCCATTTTTAATGTTTACTTGAGTTTACTAGAAAAAAAAAAAAATGGAATCTCTCACAAAGTCAAAATGGATAAATGCTACAAAGTATCAACTAGAACTCTCCAAATATCATCACTTCATAAAGAAACAAAGAAAGTCAAGAGTTTACTGAATTATATATAGAATAGCATACAAGGCTGCTTGACTAATTGGATTGTTTTTTTCTCTGAACGCTGTGCTGTGGAGGTGACTGGAATTGGCATAGGATTTAACTCAGTAGTTGTATTTAAGAGTCAGATGGGGTTTCAAAGGCACATTCTTATTATTCTGTGTTTTTTGAAAGGATGAAAAGCATGGCTTCTGTTAAACCGTATTGTATTAGGTGCTGTTGAGTTGCTTTTGACCCAAAGTCACGGAGTAGAGCTACCACGCAGTGGTTACTAGACTAGAATCATTATGGGAACAGATTGCTACGTCTTTCTCTTGCAGAGCCAGTGGATGAGCTCACAACACCAACTTCCACTTAGCAGTCAAGTGCTTAACTATTGTGTCATTGCTGTTCTTGTTGTTGTGTGCCGTGGAGTGGGTTCCGACTCATAGCGACCCTGTACGGGGTTTCCGAGGCTGTAAATCTTTACGGGAGCAGAAAGCCTCATCTTTCTCCCGCGAAACAGCTGGTAGTTTCGAACTGCTGACCTTGCGGTTCGCAGCCCAATTCATAACCACTATGCTACCAGAGTCATTAGGGTTCCTTATTATCCAAGTGTTGTTAATTGCTATTGAGTTGCTTCCAACTCATATTGACCCTGTATTGGGTTCCCAGAGATTGCCTGGTGGGTTTGAACCAGTGACCTTGTGGTTAGCAGTCCAGTACTTATTCTACAGTGCCACACCAGGACGTCATTGTCAAGGTAGGGCAAACGACATATATATTTCCTCTTCCAAATGGTAATTTAGGTGAAAATTTGATATAAAACTTCATATGGACTGACCAAATAAAGCTATAGCAGTAATTGAAAAACTGATCTAAAAACAGATAATAGGAAAAACAGCCTCTGGGAGACTTCCTCCTAAACTCTCAATTAATGGTTTAACCAAATGTAGTATCAGGCACTGTAGGATAAGCATTGGATAGCTAGCCACAGGGTCAGTGGTTCAAATCCACCAGCAACTCAGAAACCCTACACATGGGCAATATGTGTCGGAGCTGACTTGACAGCATTTAACAAGACAACCACAAGGTCGGCAGTTCAAGCTCACCAGCTGCTCCTTGGAAACCCTCTACAGGATTGCTATGCATCGAAAAGGACTCTATGGCACTTAACAATAACAACACAATATCAACAAATGAACAGAGCTATCCAGTATAAGGCAGTTAGCACGATGCTGAAACTTGGCTTACACTAAATTATTTGGTATTTAATAACTCAAAAAAGGTCAGAAATTGGTATTTAATTGTTACCTTTTTGGCAGGTAATAATTTTTCTCTGCAGCTGTAGGCACAAATCATTGAGGTGGTCGGCTTGCCAGTATTTTAAAAACACTTTTCGGACTCCCATCTAAAATAAAAACAACAGGGAAACATTTAATAGCACAAAGATGCTAAAAGGATGATGAAAAAATAATTCGGCAAGAGATTTTTTTCTAGAAGAGGATTAGAAGAAACAAATATAACACAATTAATTTTAGTACATCTCTCTTACTTTTTAACCTTATTGCATTTCAGCAAAACTTTAAGAAAGTTTCTTTCTTATAAATGCATTTTCTAGATACATACATAATTGCTAATGTTTGCAAGTGTTCACTGTGTTTGGAGTAGTTGCACCCTGTAGTGTGAGGACAAACACTGTCCTTGACACTTATCAGGAGATACAATCACTCCCATTAATGAATTATCTCATTCTGTAACTGCTGCTGCTGCTGGTAAGTGTCGTGGAGTCGGTTCCAGCCCATAACGACCCTGTACAGAGTTTCCAAAGAGAGTCTGGTAAGCTTGAACCACTGACCTTGCGGATCAAACCAACTTTGCAGTTCAGAGCATTAACCCAGAGCGCCACACCAGGATTCCAAAACTAGACTCCAACATTTCCTTTTCTGTTCGTAACTCAAAGCAGGTTGATGGGGTTTTAACAATGAAAATAAAACAAAATAAATGAAATTGTCAACTATTTTTTCTACCACACTCTGTATTATAAATGGAACACTTGTTGCTGCTATTATGAAGTGCTGCAGAGTCTATTACAACTCATAGTGACCCTGTATAGGTTCGTGAGCAGTGGCTGGTAGGTTTGAACCGCTGACCTTATGATAGCAGGCCAGTGCTTATTCTAGAGTGCCATACCAGGGTTTCTAGATTGGCAAAATTTAAAAGTATCAATAAATAATCTATGAACAATAATCTTCACTATGTTTACATAAACACCAGCTATATAGTGAATACACTTCTCTAGAATGTTTAAGCAGAGAGTTCATTCAGCATGTGATCAAAGCATAGTAGTATGAAGATAGCTGCCAAGAAAAGTCCTTAAAAACTCCTAACCAATAGCTGCATCCCTGGGTTTTTAACAATCTTCTCATGTGTTGTGTTAGTTTTCTACGTCACAGAACCATGATAGGGGTGAAGGATGCTCCTCCCATCGTAAGAGCTCACAGTTTTATGAAGGAAGCAGGCATAAATACTTACAAAAGAGACTGGGAAATCCTAATGTGAAGTGCCAAGGGTGCTCTGAGGTGATATTCTGTTATATGGAGGAAAATTACTGCCTAGGCAAATCTCATGATATGTTTATAATCATTTTCTTAGCACTTGAGACAAACACTGTTAAAGTGAGAGGGAAACTAACACGTGTGCTCCAGAGCATAAGCTGTGGACATTAAAATGGTAACACCCATAGCCAATGCCATCCATCACATTGTCACCAGAAGCTAGCAAGTATACACACACCATTAGGTAAGAGAACGTTTTCTAAGTCAGAGTAGTCTTGTCTTCAGTGTTTAGCCAGAGATGTTTCATGAACCTTTTCATTTAGAAACGAAGTTTATTCCAAACCTATTTTGTCACTTCCCACTTTTTCCATCAAACCTAGCCCTGAGCCACTGAGCTGTTGTTTTAACGACACACCCAGTTCAGTCAGAGATGGTGAGCGGAATTGTGCATTATGTTCCTCAGACTACATCCACGGGGAAGAGCTTTCAGTGACTGGACTATTTCAGGGAACGCTGGTAGAGGAGACGCTCTTCTTCCTTCCTTTTACTTCTCCATGGTTAGAATGTGAGACAGTCCCATGGGTGGATGGGAACTGAAAGTTGCTACTTATTATTGTTATTTTATTGCCATTCTCTCCCTAGTTATTTTCCACAATTTATAGTCTTTTTACTTTTTTCTTCCAACTGCTGACTTATTTTGGCAGTCAACACGAAGAACAGTTGGTACTGTCTGTGAGCACTGAAGAACAAATCTGTGAGACAGGCACTGGAGACGAGGGAGCATGTCAAGTGTTTGTTCATCACTAGATGTGGTTGGTGTGTCATTCATGGTGGGAGCGGATGCCCAACGGCAAAATTCATACAACTCTGGCCTCCAAAATCAAATTCAGAAATGGGGATGGCCAGCAATGCTACAGACTGGATGAACTCAGTAATTATCACTGGGGTTCCCAATATATAGAAGGATCACAAAACAAAACGACCTATGAAATACCTGGACTCGAGTTCTATTTCCTTCATTAATGGAGAGCCTGAGCAGAAAGGGACTTGGAGTGGATGACTGTCATTATTGTTAAGTGCTATTGATTCGGTTCTGATTCACAGCAACTCCGTAAAGGGCTTCTGAGGAGTGGCTGGTGGGTTTGAAGCACTGACCTTGCATTTAGCAGCCTAGTGCTTATACTACAGCACCACATCAGGATTCCAGAGGCTAAGGTAGAGCAGAATAAATATAAACAATGAAGGAGGCTAGTCTCACACTATAATGCTGTTGTATATGCTGTGGAGTTGGTTCTGACTCACAGCGACCCTGTACAGATAGGGTATCTGAAGGAGCTCTGCTAGCATAATGGTTATGAATCAGGCTGCTAGCCTCAAGGTCAGCAGTTCCATGGGAGAAAGATGAGGCTTTCTGCTTCCATAAAGATTTATAGCCTCGGAACTCCTATGCAGGGTTGCTATGAGTCGGAATCAAGTTCATGGCACACCACTACCACCACCATAGGATAGCTGAGGGGTGACTGCAGGGTTTGAACTGCTGACCTTGTGATCAAACTGACCTGGTGATCCAGTGCTTATCCTATAGTGCCACACCAGAATTCATACAATGTAAGGGCAGTCTCATAATAGTCCATGGGGCTAGTTAAGGAATGCACTGATGACTCAGGGGTTAGGATGATGGCAATAAAGAGAGAGTGTGAGGGCCGCCTAAGGCACAGGAATGCTCAAGAGGCAGACACATTTATTGGTAGCTGTTAATACAGTAGACCTGGTCCCAACTCTGAGGGAGAATTTGTCATGTAGTGGTTTCCATACAACTCTTTCCTGCACAGAAGCAACCAGGGGATTTGCAGGGGATGGAGACTTTTGAGCTTCTTCAGTGGGAAGAGGAGAGGGTGGACTATTCTGAAGTTAGAATCCACAATATTAACGGGTGGATATTGTGGTACCATTTGATTCTGATGATATTTTAAAGTTGTTCATTCAGTTATTTTGACATAGAACACAGTTCTATGGACCTGTCTTTTGTTTTGTTTTAACTATGTACTTTATTTGTGGATTTTTTTTTTTTTTAACTAAATACTGTGTGAGTGGAGATTTTAACAGTTGTTTAATTTTGCTTATATTTATGTCATATAGTACATGCCTTTATCTTAAAAGAATGGCATTGATGTTTTAGTAGTATTTTGTAGGGTTTCATCAGAAAACAGTTAAAGCAATGCATTTCAGTTCCCAACAGCCTTCTTTCATTACTAACTCTATGGATTAATGAGAAAACCAATCTTTCCTGTTTCAGAGAAACCCAGACAAGATCATCTGAATTCCAAACATTTAAGCTGTCTATTAATGACAAGGGCTGGAAGAAAACGGAGCCATTTTTATTTTCTCTAAGGAAAGGAGTCTTGTAAAGTTACTCTGTAAGCAGTGCTTACTCCTCCATACTGAGTCCAACAATTACGATTCATCAAAGCAGACCAAACACTCAGTTCACCTACATTGATTTTGGTAGCATTCTTTAAACAAAGGATGCTTCTTGCTAACCAGAGGAGAGGTTAAAACACTCCCCACTGGCCCTCTCCTGTGAGCTCCCCACATGACAGAGTGTTCTTACATGAGATTAAAATGTTAATGTCATTCTGACTCCTGTAAAAGTAAACCATCTGTGAATTACAGTCGTCACTATTTTTATTAGAAAACCATTAGGTTTTTTTTTTTCCCCTTGAAGTGACAGATTTTAAAAGATCAAACAAAATTGTCATTGATGACTTCCAAAGCTTCAATTACTGCCGTAGGTTTCAGAGATTTTTTGTTTTGTTTTGTTTTTAAAGGAGTAGGCTGCGGAAGTTCAGACAAATGCAGAACCATGGGTTGTGATATATGTAGGTGGCAAGACAGCTGTGTGAGTACAGAGATATCAAGAGGTCCAGCAAGGCAGTTATTTCTTCTTATTCTTTATTTTAATGACCATTTGTGTGAGTGCTGTATGTTTCTGACAGTACCTTTGAAATAGTTTTATACCACAAAAAACCATACCTACTATCCTTTGATATTTTACAGGACACACATTTTTGTTCTGCACTAATGAAACTGAAAGGGAATGATTAAAATGAACATGGTGTGGCACTGCAGATAAGAACTGGGCTGTTAACTGCAAAGTCAGCGGTTCAAATCCACCAGAGTCTCCTGTGAAATCCTATACAGGGTTGCTATGAGTCAGAATTGACTTGATGGCACTTCACAACAACAACATTGACGCTAAAACAAAACAGTGAGAGCCATCTTTTTATCATATCCATGGATTCTTGTTGGCTTGAAGAAGACACATAGTTATTTGTATCTAACCTGTGAGCTAATTTAGTTCACTCGTGAATGGCTGTTGAATAATACAATGAGTAATTGTTTCTCAAGTAAAAAGCAGTTCACATTGTTCTGCTTTGATAAACAATACATGTCAATTAAAATGAAATGAAGCTTTATAGTAACTCATGGGTGATAGAGAAAAATGACTAAAACTTATTTTGAAATGATAGTACAGTTTCCCCAAGGAACTATGTTGTTGTTGTTGTTAGGTGCCATCAAGTTGGTGCCGACCCATAGCGACCTTATGCACAGCAGAACGAAACACTGCCTGATCCTGGGCCAACCTCACTACTGTTACCACACTTGAGTCCATCAATGCTGCCACTTGGCGAATGCATCTAGTTGAGGGTTTTCCTCTTTTTCTCTGATCCTCCACCTTACCTTCATTTTCCATCTGCCATTTTCCATCCAGCAGACTTTAGAACATAATACTAAACAACTAAACTGCACCAGTTGGTCTAGTTACTAGCAGACTGCTCAGAATTTCCAGAGA